TATGAAATTTGGAATAAATGTTATAATTGGCTAGAACAGAGAAAGAAAAAGATATAATTATTGATGTATATAAAATGTAAATAAGATGTAAAGAACATTTAAAATGTAAAGCACTGTTCTGTTAGAAGAAAAGAGTTATGTTTATGTAGTTTTGGTGTATGGTGTATGGTGAAAAATAAAAAAAAATTAAATAAATAAAAAAAAAAAAGTTACCAGATTTCTAGGGAGAACAGAAAATCCAATACTGTATGGTATCTAAATCTGAGTACTGAATTAAAACCCTTGTTTTAAGATGCGTATGGTTCTTTGTGAAACTTTCTGTGCATGTGATAATATTTTTATAGCAAAGTTTAAAAATCGCCTCTTACAGATTTGTATCTTTTATAGTGCTTATTACTTCTGCCTTTCCTCATCCACCCAAAACCTTTAAGAAACTAATATTAAAGCCTTTCCTCTCTGGAAAAGAGGTTGAATATTTGAAAATAGTCATGCCGGCTTTATGCCAGCAGTGAGTTTAGGGATGGTATGTCAGCTCTTCCCTTCACATTTCTCTGGCTATTTTTGAAAACTGATGCCAAACCAGATGATTTAGAAGAGCTCTAAACTCATTTTAATGTATTTTTCTTCCAAGAGATTCTCTTTTTTATTCATGGATTCAAACAAGAGGGTGTTTTTCTGTATCTAGGTTGGGATCAGAAAAGTATTTGCTGAGGTTCTCCCATCTCACAAAGTAGCCAAGGTTCAGGAGCTCCAAACCTCTGGAAGAAAAGTTGCCATGGTTGGAGATGGGGTCAATGACTCACCAGCGCTGGCCCAGGCTGACGTTGGCATTGCTATCGGAACAGGCACAGATGTCGCCATTGAAGCAGCAGATGTTGTGCTGATTCATGTGAGCTTACAAAATGGAAGAGGATGATGGGGAGGTAGGGGAGATTCCTAGGACTTTCTGAGAAATTGGAACACCCCCCCCCCCGTTAAGTCCAGAGAATAATGGCGAAGGAGGCAATGCATGTTGCTAACAGAGCTTTATTCTCTCTCTCTCACAGCTAACAACCAACAAGAGCAGAGGCACGCAGGCCTCTATTTATACCCCCCGATCCCCGGGCAATTCCAACCAATAGCAGGCAGTCTTTTCCCGCCTTGCGCATGTGCGCAAGGCCGGCGCCGCTCAGTCTGGTCCCGGGCAGCTTTTGCAATTGCCCGGGACTCTTGCATCGTCCCGAGCCTGCTTCTGCAGGCTCAGGACACAACACCCCCCCTTTTTTTTGTACAGAATAATTTGCTTGATGTGGTTGCAAGTATCCATCTATCCAGAAAGACAATGAAGAGAATCCGAATAAACCTAATCCTGGCCTTAATATACAACCTCATTGGCATACCCATAGCAGCAGGTAAATTATTTGTACTATGATTCTCAAGCAGATGGGTTGGTGGAAGGTAAGTAAGAGATTTGTTACTTGTTTAAGCGGGATTGCTTTTCCTGTTATTAAGAGTTGCCTTATAATGTTATGTCCATAGTTAATTATTTGAAAGCAAAAGAAGGAGACGGAAAAATGTAAGAGAGGGAAACTCACATCTCAAGACCCTCCTGATTTTGTTGAGTGCTTAAGAAGGAAAATGCACTGTGGTGAAAAAGCTTTTGGCTTAATTAATAATATACTCTTCAGCAGCCTTCTGATGGTGCTGTCTAGTGTTTGATTCTGACCGGTTCAAGGTTGACTCAGCCTTCCATCCTTCTGAGGTTGGTAAAATGAGGACCCAGATTGTTGGGGGGCAATATGCTGACTCTGTAAACCGCTTAGAGAGGGCTGTAAAGCACTATGAAGCGGTATATAAGCGGTATATAAATGAGAATATACCATCAGAGGAAGAAGTGATAAGAAAAATCCTGGACTGTGCTGAGATGGACAAATTAACAAAAGAGATAAAAGAAAAGGAAGACACAGAGTATTATTTAATGTGGAATAAGTGGTATGACTGGTTGGAGATTAGAAATAATAAATGAGAATAAATGTGGAAAGATCAAAAATGGAAAATGTGTGTATAATAATGTATAGTAATAATAATATGTATTATTTTTAGTATGAAGTATAGTATGAAGGAAGAAAAATGCAAACAAGAAACAACGGGACAACAAGGACAAATATATCTAAAGAAGAATAAGGGGGGGGAATGTAAATAATAGAAGATTACCGTTACGAAATTGCTGTTAAAAAAAAAGGAGGAGTATACACTGTGTGTATGTGTGTTATGTTTTGTTGTTTTAAAAAATAAAAAAAAATGGAAAAAAAGTTTCTATTGCTAATGCTAAGCAATTGGATTTTAATGTCAAAAATATTCTAGTTTACATAACTTTGGCTCATCTTGTTTGACGATGCCAACTAGGACTTTATGAAAGTGGAAGTCCAATGCCTCTGGAAGACAATAAATTGGCTGATGTAAAGTCCCTCTGATAATTGCATGTCAATTGTGAGCTCCAGTTGTACTGAACTGATGTTATTCTGAGCATGAAAAATAGAAAGCAAACAACAAATTTGTGGGAGAAGAAATACACAAACACCAAACATAATTCCATTTTGCAGTAAAACTCCTCAGCTTTGAGCAGGCAGGTGATAAGAAAATGATTTAAGACTAAATTCTGCATTCTTAGAGATGCCTACATATAACTTTATTTAAGCAACATTCTAAATTGTGTCTATTTTTTGTGTCAGGAGTATTTATGCCTTTAGGACTTGTGCTACAGCCATGGATGGGGTCAGCTGCAATGGCTGCATCTTCAGTATCCGTATTACTCTCTTCCCTGCAGCTAAAATGGTAAGTTGAGATGTGTTTGAATATTAGTAGCTCGGGTTGGTAGTTGGGCTGTTTGGTTTGATCTCCGAGCTTGGCGATTTGGCTGCAAATGTCTCCATTTGGGGGGACATTTTCAGTGTGCTTTGAATTGTGCTCGTCTGTCAGAGCACTGGCCTTTAAATACCTTTTTGTGTGATGTGGTAAGTCATCTCCCAGTCCTGAATGAATGAGCTCTGCCCAGTCACCAAATAAAATTGGGGTATCCTTTTCCAAAAACTGTTAAGTCTAGGCTATTAGTAATAATCTAGACAGATGATGCCATTCTTCTACCTCTGCCCAGCATCATGCTGGAACTTTCTAAATAAGTTTGCTTGAAGAGGACTGACAACTTCTAAACATGGGCCATAGTTACAGTGGCTAGTCTGGTTCTAAGAATCAAAATACTGAGCAAATGCCTTCAACTGCAGGTAATTTTCAGCTTATAACTACAAATGGAACCAGAGTTTTGACCATGTCATGGTGATCGTAAGTCGAGGAATCCACTTGACCGGATTAAATTTTGCAACTGTTTTTATAGCAATTGTTAAGTGAATCCTCCAGGCGTATGTCTATATCAGTTCTCTTGGATGGGTACTTTTTGCCACAACCTGGCAAAAAAAATCCCAGAAACTGATAAAAAAAAACCCTTGTGATCACAGGATTAGGGGACACTGCAATCAGTTTTAAATTTGAGCCAGTTGCCAAGTGCCCGAAATGTGCTCATGTGACCATGGGGTGGTAGTGGGGGGGCAACATTTTATGATAAAGAAGTGCTTTGTGAACTGCAATGCACCCTTCCAAGACCATCTTAACTCCAAATGGTCATTAAACGACTGGCCGTTAAGTTGAGAACTAACTTCACCACTGTTGACATGTTGGTGCAAGGCATGATGATATTGGTGATAATGCAGACTGTGGCTACTCCACCCGCTTTGCTTGATGTTTTTCACAAATTAGGCGCTCAGCAATCCAAAATCAAGACATGGATTAATTAACAAATCAAGAGTTCTTCTGGCTAGAGCAGGAGTATAGGCAACCTTGGCTCTTTTATATGACTCGTGGACTTCAACTCCCAGAATTCCTGAGCCAGCATGGCTCAGCATGGAAACCTCTCCCTTTCCCCTCAGCATGGCTGGCTCAGGAATTCTGGGAGTTGAAGTCCATGAGTCATAAAAGAGCCAAGGTTGCCTACCTCTGGGCTAGAGAAACCTAGTTCTTATATTTTCTTCAATTCAACAGTCCCATTTCTAAATAGACTTGTGATTTGCAGATTATAGATAATCCTTGACATACAACTACAATTGAGCCCCAAGTTTCTGTTGCTAAGTGAGATATTTGTTAAGTGAGTTTTGCCCCATTTTACGACCTTTCTTGCCACACCTTGTTAAGTGAATCACTGCAGTCGTTAGTAACATGGTGGTTAAGTGAATCTGCCTTCCCCATTGACCATGCTTGTCGGAAGGTTGCAAAAAGTGATCACATGACCCCCGGGACATTCCAACCATCCTAAATATGAACCAGTTGCCAAGCATCTGATATTTTGATCACATGACCACGGGGACGCTGCAACAGCTGTAAGTGTGAAAAACAATCATAAGTCACTTTTGTCAGTGCCATTCCACGGTCACTAAATGAACTGTTGTAACTGAGGACTACCTGTACTAGTATTTGCTAGGCAGCTGCCATATCCAACTCTGTGCTTCTATTGGAAATATATTTGTTTGTATTTGTTCTATTTCCATAGTTACAAGAAAACTGTCCTGGAAAAATATGAAGCTGAGGCTCAAGGCTGCATGAAGCCACTGACTCCTTCCCAAATTAGTGTCCATATTGGGATGGATGACCGGAGACAAAAACCTCCCAAATTAGCCACCTGGGACAATATCAGTCAAGTGTCTCTCTGTTCCCTGACTTCAGACATGGCATCAGTTGACTTGGAGGCTGAAGCAGACAAATGGTCATTACTCACCAACAATCAGGATGAAGACCAATATATTTAAAGGATATAATCTGATACCGAGCAGCAGGTTTCAAGGATGGGAGTAAGAGCGGTTTAAGATTCTGTTTCTGGAGCATCTACAGAGAAGTGTGTTTGGTGTGCACTGGCTGCCTGTTCTCATTTGAATGGAGGAGTGTACCTTCAGCTGATCCTGGTGGCTCCTGGATTAGGTTAGGGGCTAATTATAATGTGTGTATCAAACTACAGAGCAGTGCTTGCATTTCAGTACCAAATACTGAACACTACATGTTTAGATCAATATCAGAAAAGCCATATTCTCATAAAGGTCAGAATAAGATTGTTGAAATGAATGATCAGGCTGGTTATACTTGAGGGCGGGACATGGAGGAGAAGTAATCATACTCTTTAGGATGGGGGTCCCCAACCCCCGGTCCGTGCACCAACACCGGGCCGCAGCATACCAGCAACCGAGCCGCGCAAATAAGTGAAGCCCCATCCGCTGAATGCAGTCAGCACACGAAACCACGCCCCCTCTGGTTTGCGGAAAAATCTTTCTCCACAGAACCGGTCCCTGGTGCCCAAAACGTTGGGGGCCTCTGCTTTAGGATATGCAGTATACTGTATTCATATTTGCAGTCTGTTTTTACTGCTTTGTCTTAAAGAAGACAAAGTAAAAGAGAAGCACAAAACCTTCAGGCTCATTCATATCATGTGCATTTATAATACTGGATCAAGCAACGTATGGAAAGTTGTTCCATATATTTTGTTTCCTCTTAATGATGCTGAATCCCATGTTCTGTATCTCCCTCAGGCTCCATAAAAAGGCAAATGTTTCTTATATTTCAGAAGGCAACAAAAGTAGAGTATTGTTAGGCATGGCAGTTCCCTAAACATTCTAATAAGAATTTATATTTATCTTTTTTTAATAGTGGAATTAGAGCAGTGCCCCAAATATTGGAAAATAGACATTGAAGGTTTTTTTTTAAAAAAATTATAATTAAGCAAATTCTAGTAAATAAATCCATTCTTTTTCCTACGTGAAATAAACCTATCTTTATATACATGGTTCAAAAAATAATTATTTACAATCTCTAATTTCTTCTCTAATTCCTTTTATAATTTCATCCAATTTTTCATTGCACTTCATGTGGTTCAGTTACTGTGGATATATAACTGCAGCATCTGACCTTAAAAAATAAATCCACTTTATTTATTTATATATAAATCCATCCACATTTGCCATTTGCTTATGAAATCTGCACACTTTAATTCAAATTACCATCAGAAGTCAGAGAGGGAGGGGATAAATATTTGTAATGAACCCGGCACGATGGATCGGAAATTTTCATAAATAATGAAAGCTTTTATATCATAGCAAATGCTGGGAGTGTTGAAACTTGGAATGTGGAAAGGGACAAGCAGCTGAAATCATTGTTTCGCCATGAAAGTCTGTGCTGTATTTAGTAAAGTTGGAATTTATCTCAAAATTGTGAAACAAAGTTGCCCAGTGTGTAAGAGCTGGGGATGGTGAATTGTGGAATTTTCTATTCCTGAAATGGAATATTTAAATCCGGTGATTCCATCACCAGTGGTGGTGCTCTTATAGTCTTGGGTACTCTTCTCTCCCGTGATGATTGTCTGTCAAATGGCATTGAAATAGTAATAAAAATACTTTCCTTATTCCAAACATACTCAATCTTACCATCACTATAACACAATATTAAATGCATATTAATGCATATTAAAACATATCTATTTTAGCTAGAGTCTGCAAGCAAAGAATGCAAACCCCAAAGGTGCTTTTTCAAAAAGCAACTGAACTTTCCTGGCAGTTTTTTTTTCTTCAGAACTGAAGAAACTTCTTGGATGAGAAGCAAAACATTTAAAACCAAGAAAGTCCACTTGCATTTTGAAAAAAGCACCTTTGGGACAACCATGACCTGGAAGACTGAGAATCTCCATAAACAAGGAATATGGAGATCGATACATCCATGGATGATTCTCTCCCAGCAGCATTGCAAAAAATAACGAGAGCCCCTTGAAATTGTGACTCTTCTTTGTACTACTGTAGTTCACCAATTGCTTCACTTCATCCACTGCATTGTAGCTTACCGAAGAAACTTCAAAATTAGCCTGAAAATAACATTTGCATTCCTCTGTGAAATTCTCATTTAAGCTTCTCAGAGTCTTCCTTCAATTTTTATTCAGTTTTCAAAGCTAGAGAAACTCCTTAGGGAGGATGCAAATATAACACACTTCTTTTCCTAGTATCCGCCTGCAGATTGTCCAGGCCATTACACAGGGGGCTGAGAATGATCTTGTGATTCACTACATCTTCATGGGCAATGAATTTGGGCAGCGCACAAGTGCAGTATNATACTGCACTTGTGCGCTGCCCAAATTCATTGCCCATGAAGATGTAGTGAATCACAAGATCATTCTCAGCCCCCTGTGTAATGGCCTGGACAATCTGCAGGCGGATACTAGGAAAAGAAGTGTGTTATATTTGCATCCTCCCTAAGGAGTTTCTCTAGCTTTGAAAACTGAATAAAAATTGAAGGAAGACTCTGAGAAGTATCTGATTTAACTTTTCTTAGTACAAACGAGGAAAATAACAAAAATAATTGTTGGGATAGTTGGTTGCTAAAGCCTTGTTCAAATATATCTCAGGATTGTAAAGTCTCCAAATCAAAGCGAATAGGTAATAATAAAAGAAATTTGCTTCCCCCTGCTGGTTTTTTCTTTAAAAATGTTATAATTTAATGTTGGGTGGGACTTGTTTCCTGGAGGCAGGGATAATAACATTCATTGGTTTCTGTATTGAACAAGAAGTGAGTCAGCAATGTGCTGTAACTGCCAAAAAAGCCAACACGGTGCTAGGCTGCATTAACAGGGATAGAATCAAGATCACGTGAAGTGCTAATACCACTTTACAATGCCTTGGTAAGGCCACACTTGGAATACTGCACCCAGTGTTTGTCACCACGATGTAAAAAAGATGTTGAGACTCTAGAAAGAGTATAAAGAAGAACAACAAAGATGATTAGAGGCCTGGAGGCTAAAACATACAAAGAACAGTTGCAGGAATTGGGTATGTGTAGTCTAATGAAAAGAGGGACGAGGGGGGACATGATAGCAGTGTTCCAATATTTCAGGGGCTGCCAGAAAGAAGAGAGAGTCAAGCTATTCTCCAAAGCGCCTGAAGGCAGGACAAGAAGCAATGGATGGAAACTAATCAAGGAGAGAAACAACCTAGAACTAAGGAGAAACTTCCTGACAGAACACTCAGTGGAACAACCTGCCTCCAGAAGCGGTGAATGCTCTAATACTGGAAGTTTTTAAGAAGAGACTGGACAGCTATTTGTCCGAAATGATATATGGTTTCCTGCCTGAGCAGGGGGTTGGACTAGATGACCTTCAAGGTCCCTTCCAACTTTATTATTATTATTATACATTATTATTGTTATTGTTGTTATTGTTGTTATTATTATTATTATTATTATTATTATTATTATTATTATTATTATTATTATTATCTTGAAAGCAGGCAACCTGCAGCTTTCCAGACATTGTCTATTAACATTCTCTAGTACAGCTCAGAGTCTGGGAGGCAGGAAGTGAAGTTCCCTATGACAGTGGTGGCGAACCTATGGCACGCGTGCCAGAGGCGGCACTCAGAGCCCTCTCTGTGGGCACACATGCCATGCCCCGGAGATGGCAACTGTCCCTCTTCAACCAGCCGCCCCCTAACTCGCCGAGGTCCCACATGGCCGGATGCATCCCAGCACCCATGCGCTCGCTGGCCTCTGTGTGCAGGGGCTGATGGTGTCAGGCAGCAGCTGCTCCGGCCCCTGCCTCACCTTTCCCTGTGACAATGGCACTCCTGCCCTGCCTCACCTTGCTTTGCCTCACACCGCAGGACGAGTGTCCTGCCCACCACCCCACCTGCCAGAGAGCCCCTGGATCTCTCCCAACCCTGCCCGGCCCCCACAGGCGTCCCTCCCCACGAGCAACATTGAGGTGATCAAGCCCACTTTGGCCACACCCACCCAATCTGCCATGACCACCACAGCCACGCCCACCAAGTGGGCCACGCCCACCTGGCACCCAGTGATAAATAAATGGGTTTTGCGTTGCAGTTTGGGCACTCGGTCTTTAAAAGGTTCGCCATCACTGCCCTATGATCTGACAACTGCTAAAGACTCTGTGGAGATTATCCTTTGCAGAATTACAATCTTCTGGTATGAATACTTTGTATGACTACTTCCATAAAAATTCTACAACAATAACTATTCCACAAGAATTGGGACACACCAATGAAAATATTATTGTGGGAAAAAGAACTTATTGTTTTTACAGAACTATGGGAAGACATGCTAGCCTGTGAAGCAAATACATTGTATATATTTTAATCTCATGAGCCTAGCTTGAAGCTTGAGAATTGTATCTAGAAAGGTCTCTGCTACACTGAAAACCAGTCCTAACCAGAATTTATTGATATGATAGCAACTTTAGAGACAACCCCTAGGAATTAACAACCATAAAAGGTAATTTGTAAATAAGGGCCAGGGGTGATAGAATTAGGGGAGTGGTAGAGGTAATCAGAGGCAGAGATAATGTGTTCATTTTAGAAGCTTTGGATAGGTTGTGACGACATGATTACAATATGATTACCAAGCCAATGAAAAAGAGATGGGAGGTAAATTTGAAATGGCAATGGAGAATATAAAAAACGAATATTGAAGATTTGGGGTGTGTCCACTATGTGCTGGCATGCACAAGGAGCACCCCCTTTGCAAAGGAGTACAAATATTACCATTGTTCTCTCTTGGAAGTTTTGGCTTGTGATTATTTCAACTAGACAACGAATCCCACAATTATAAAACATTATGTACAAAGGATATTAAAAAAAACCCGAACCTATTTTTGTCCACCATTTGGCCTCACAAGGCCTCCCCCACCCCAAGGCCTCCCCCACTCCAGTTCCTATTCCTTGGAGGTCCCAGCAGGCCTCGGCTTGCTTCCCACTTAGCCATTCAA